ACTTCAGGCTAAGAAGCCACGGAAGATGGAGGCCGCGGAAATTGGCGCTACGAAATTCACGCATGCTGGCGCGTTAGTTCTTGATCCGAATTTGAAAGGACCCGTGGTGAGTTCGAAGAATTCAGCACTATTTTTCATAACGACAACCAACTTAATCAGAATAAGAATCGCCATATCAATGAATCAAGAGGTTATGATGAACGCCCATGTCTAGCCGATATCATTACCTCAATGCTCTCCTTAGACGCGCCCAGAATCCAGATTACAAGTGCTGAAAATGCATTTTTGTTGCAACCACGTGGGACGTACGCCGACACATGGCACAGGAAAAACGCTCAACCACCTGGAACTGACAAATTTGAGCAGCCTGAAAGAAGTGCCTTCCCGGAGGTGTCACCTGACCTCAACAATGGGCCATATGCTACACTTCCCCATGCTAGGTGATCCACACCTTCCTTTAAACTTATTTGTTCTGAACGATATAGTTTCGACATAGATATAGATATATTATATTAGGTTGTCTCAAAAGTTCGTGAATATTTTGAACTTTTTCTTTGAGCTTACTCCATTCCAAGTGCATGCATTATCTATCATCACCATCAGCGACTTGTTGCCAACGACCAACCGAAGAGTAGCCGCTTAAAGGAATCTTCCACGGAAAAAGCTCCGCCTCCATTACCACAGAAAAACGATACCTTAGGCCCCTAGCCTCATGAGCATAGCAAAAAGAACGGAACATAAGCGTTAGTTTCGATAATACTAATCCTACACACAAGACAAAATGATCACTCTTTCCGTGGAAGATTCCTTTAAGGTATCGTTTTCTGTGGTAATGAGGGCGGAGCTTTTTCCGTGGAAGATTCCTTTAACTCTCAGAAGGCTGGCAGTTATGAGCTGAAAAAGGCAGTGAGGTCGATTTCGAGGTGCCTATGGAGAATCGTATTTTTTGTTCGCAAGATGATTGCTGAGCAAGAAGAGCAGATGTCCTTCGGAAGGAGGCTGATCACCGCTGCACGAAGGATACGGCGGGACTCCTCAACTAAGCTTTGATAGCTTTTTTCGAAAGCCTTTTCCTCGGTTGAGCTGGCACACTTTTTCGAGTTTTAAGGCGAGATGTTTGAGT